TTAATTTGAAAAATAATTTAATACACAGTAATTTATATAATTTATATATATATATGTCGGGCGATGTGACAAAAAAAGCACAAGCTTAAAATTATCATGTTTTCCAATTTCAATAAATTAAAATTATGTATTTTATTTTAAATTAAATTTACAATTTTTTATCAATTATTCTTAAAAAATTAGTTTTTATTTTTTAAATGTTATCGTCAGTTGGAGGTTTTTAAATAATTTATTTCCACCGGCGCAACAATTTTTTTAAATATTTTTTTCTTCATTAATAAACCACGGGGGGTGCAAGCGCACCAGTCTATCCCACCGTAGCTACGCCTATGGTGAATATCGTTAATAAAAATAAAGAATAATATTAGTCCAGTAATAGAACCCTGCGGTACACCGTGATGAATTACCTCGTTCTTGGAACCATAATTATTATTGGTTATGACACTGTGGTCTCTCCTGTAGATAAGATCTAATAAATATTAATGCAAGCCTAAATCCCATTCCAACATTTTTAATAGTAACAGACAGTGGAACGTAGTCGAAAGCCTTTGTAAGATTGCATAGAACGACAGACCTATGTTCACCTGCCTCAAAACTGTCTAACACATCCTTCACGACATCATATAACAAGATGTTGATTTTATAAGTACCTTTACTGATTTTTTAAAAGGTCATGTACTTACTTACTCCCACACTGTACATTTACCTACAACAAACATCATCGTGTATTAATTAGGACCAACATCACTTTTTAAATTTTGACCATCTTTATTTGAGCTTCATTGAAACCACCATTTATCACCCTGAGAAAAACAAATTTATACGTCTCGTCAAAGCAAACAAAAAATCAGCTTAAGCCAGCTTAAAATTAAATTAAGATCACACACACTCAAATAAACCAACAAATAAATAATTCAAACCAGCCAAACAAAACGACAATGAAATCGTGAAAGCTTATGCGGCGGATAATCCAGTTGGCTTATCTTTCCGAACAATTGAATTCAGTGTACGTACTGCGGCGCAGATTCTTTGCCGTAGGGTGGTTGCAAACCATGTTTGACACATGTAAGTGGGGCCTCTCGTGTACAACACGTGAGCTGGCCACGTGCCTATCCAAATCACAGGAATAAGGACGATTTGTCAGTTTCAGAGCGAAGTGTGCTCGGAAATCGACACACCCACGATGACTGGACCAATTTTTGGGGCTGAGGCGTTAATTGCTTGATCCTTAAAGCAGGATTTATACGCCAATCAGCTTTTTTAAAACGGATATTCCTGAAAGTCGATTTAGTGTTTATACTTTTGTTCACTTATGGTGAACTAGCAGAAATAGGAGAGTCAACGAAACAATTTATGGAAATAATAATGGTAATGAAGACAGGACAGGATGAATTATGATCCCGTATGAATCCAGGACAAGATGCATTAAGACCTGATATGAAGACAGAACAGGATGCACTGGATGTATTACGGTTTGATATGGGGAATATGACGAAATCAAAAGTTACATGAAGAAACATTTAGATGATCAATTCAGTAGGACAAATAACTTAAAGACAGATATAATTAGATAACCGGTTAGAAATCGTAGATCACTGATTCGACAACATAGAGAAAACAATGGAAGAAGAGATTACCATTGTAAGAAAACAGGTGGAAGGTATGAGAATTTGAAAATACCAAAACAAGGGGTGACTCCATGACAGGAACTGTCAAAATTGAACAGTCTCACCATATACAGATGATTATGTATAGAAATAGTCGATTATCTTCTAAATTAAGATAGCTATCGAAAAATCATAAGATACAAACGTTTTAGGGCTTAAAAAATCTATTACAATATAGAAAAATTTAGTATACCTACAGGATCAGTCAAAATGTCATGACAAAACAAAGTTGCTTTTTCTTCAATGGAACACCCTGTATATTATTCCATATTTTTCAATTTTTCTCAAAATTCTAAACTTTAT